TTACATTTGATAATATTTATACATAAAATGTATAAATATTAATTTTTATAATATTTATTATATATGCTTGAAACCATTCATCCAAAAAAATTAAATCCCTTAACTAATTTAATTTGAAATATATTTGATAACCTTATTTCAATATAATTTCAATAACTAATTATAATCTCAAAAAAAATTTATTTTTACTAGCCCTAAAACAAAAAATTTTACAAAAAAATCAATAAAAAGAAACTAAAGGAAAAAAAAAACCAAAAAAAAAAAAGAAAACAAAAAAGAAAGAATTACATAAATCAAACTGATAATTTGTTAAAAAAAATAGTATATCAATTTAAATATAAAAATTAAAAATATAAAAAATTTTTAAAAAAAGATTAAAAAAATCAAAACATAATCGACAGAAAAAAGCTATCGATTATACTGGTTATAATCGACGGCCCTTTCTGTCGATTATAAAAAGTATAATCAACAGCTACAATGACTGTCGATTATACTTGAACCCCGCCCATTCACCTCAAAAAAATTAAATCTCCCGGTTAATTTAATTTGAAATATATTCGACAATTTTATTTCAATATAATTGACAAAATTTATGTCGATTATACTTCCAACCCGCCCATTCATTCCAAACAATTAAATCTTCTGACTAATTTAATTTGAAATATATTCGACAATCTTATTTCAATATAATCGACAGAATTTTTGTCAAATATATTTTTATTATATAAGGGTTTCAAAATCAGAACATCCCATTATCTTCTATTTTTTTCATCTCTGCTTATCTTCTCCTTTCTCCTTCTTTCTCACAAGCCGTCCCAGTCTTTCTCTCAACTTTTTCTCCTTTTATTTTTCCTTTTTCTTTCATCTTTTATACTCTCTCATTTGTATTTTTGTAAATATATATAGTTTTATTTTAATTTTCCTTTATACTTATTCCATTATTTTCTTTTGTTGATAGTCCATCATCTTCTTTCTCTTCATCCTTCTTGGTCAAAGCTTTTTTTTTTTTATGCATCATCCAATTGCTTTAATTTAGTTTAAATTAAGAATTTTTATTATTTGATATACTAATAGTTCCTTCTTTTTTTTGTGTGCAGATTTTAATACAATAATTATGAGGTAATTTTCTTTTTAAAATTTGATTATACTTTTTATTTTCTTTTCTTTTAATAAAGTTATAATGTGTACCAATGCAATTTTTTTTATTTTTGGCAGGATATTGATCAAAAACTAATTAAGGTTAGAATTCTTATTTTAGTTTTATTTATGTTTATCTATTATTTCTTATATTATATTACTCTTAAAATTATTTCATAAATATATTGTTGGGGGGTTT